AAGATCCGGGATAGAATAGGTCTTCAGCAACCCATGCTTGCCGTAAAAGGTGACTATGCTTGTCGTAAGAGGCGACTAACGGGATCGGGTGGTCAGGCTCGCTGACTTGGTTGATGCATGTCATTGTATACCAATGGCGTGATAGAATAGGTCTTCAGCAACCCATGCTTGCCGTAAAAGGTGACTATGCTTGTCGTTAAAGGCGACTAAGGGGATCGGGTGGTCAGGCTCGCTGACTTGGTTAATGCATGTCATCGTATCCCAATTGCGTGGACGCGACGTTAAACCCAATTTCACCTCACCTCACCCCAATTGCGTGGATCGATGCTCATGATATTAATCACTGAATTGTCTGGTCCAGACTCGTTTATTTTACAGACCGCCGCCATATAGCTGGAATATTGCTGAGTGTGGCGTTAGACAACAAACAAACAAACAAACCAAGGCGTGGATCGATGCTCATGATGTCAGTCACTGAATTATCTGGTCCAGACTAGATTATTTACAGACCGCCGTCATATAGCTGGAAAATTGCAATTACTGAGTGCGTCGTTAAACACCAAACAAAAATACTTTACTTCTGTTTCTTACTGTTTAAAATTAAACCACTTCAATGTTTTGGCAACAGGAATCAAAAGAAGCTTATGTATAACAATAGACTTGCAACGTAAGACAGCTAAATGCAGGTTTAGATACACCTTAAACATACTGGAGCTCCTGAGTAGGTTGAACATTATTAGTGGCTGCTAATAATAACATACTTCCGTATATATTTGAGGTAGAAATCCCTAGGCTGAAAGAACCACTTTATTTGTTTTGCCAGACGTCTGTTTAACCGTACATTGTGTCATGGAAAGACAAATAGGATGACGGTATTGTTTATCCATGTGTCCACATCTTACACATATGACGGGGTAAAGCTTCGGATTAGAAACGTTTTGTTTGCTTGTGTGCCAAAATAGATAAAACTCCCATTTTGGTGAAAGGATATGACATTGTGTTTTTTTTACGTCAGCCCATGAAAACTACAGGTGTACATTGAGCAATGAGCATTGCGTCAAACATGGAGGTAAATAAAATCCGTCTACCTATAAAAACTATGCAAGTCTCATGGCATCATATCAGTAACTTTAGTTTACAGTTTTGTTTTAAAATCCCTCGAATAGTCCTTGGTTCAGATATAGCTACAACGTGTCAATGGTAAATACATTCTCGCGCGCGTTATATAAATAAACATAGCACATGTATAACATATGTATATAACTCATAGTATATAAATATATAGAATGGGAGACAGTTGACCAAGTTCTCTCAGGCGCCGCAATTCGCTGTGCAGAGTTAAGTCCCTAGGGCACGCCTGTAACCTATTATTGTGGGTTCGAATCCCGGTTCGCCCCGTTTTTGTTTTGAGGTTTGTCAGCACCATGCCCGTGATCGTTGTTTTCACTAAAAACGGTAAACGTCTGAGACCTGCATCACTTCGGGCTTTCCGCCTACATTAAGCTGACACGCCGTGATATAACTGGAACACGTGTTAAATCAAACACACTGTCTCCGATATATATATATATATATATATATATATATACATTGTAGGTATTGGTGTCAGCGAATGCATGTCATCGTATCTCAATTGCGTCGATTGGGGCTCATGATGTCGGACACTGGATTGTCTGATCCAGACTCGATTACTCACAGACCTCCGCCATAGAGCTGGCATCAAACAACAAATAAACAAAATCCAGCACGGTAGATGATGAGTGACAAACTCGGAGAAAAGGTGATGCCCGACACGGAACATGTGGAATAAGTTAACACAAGCGCCCAGCCAGTGGTAGCACGACTGTCTCTCTCACTGATAATTACCACGGGCCGGAAGAGTCACGCAATGCTACTTTTTTCTTCTTAAGTAATTACTAAACATCCTAAAGTAACACAATACAATCAGGAAGTAAGCAATAAAAAGAACAATACAGAAACCTTAAGCTTTCAAACCACCTTGGTCACATAAGACGTTACTTGACCCAGCTTCACAGCCCAGAACACCTGGAGCCCAGAACACCTGGAGCCCAGAACACCTGGAGCCCAGAAAACCTTGAACCCAGAACACCTGGAGCCCAGAACACCTGGAGCCCGGAACACCTAGAGCCCAGAACACCTGGAGCCCAGAACACCGGGAGCCCAGAACACCTGGAGCCCAGAAGACATAGAGCCCAGAACACCTTGAACCCAGAACACCTGGAGCCCAGAAGACAGAGCCCGGAACACCTAGAGCCCGGAACACCTAGAGCCCAGAACACCTGGAGCCCAGAAGACAGAGCCCAGAACACCTGTAGCCCAGAAGACATAGAGCCCAGAACACCTTGAGCCCGGAACACCTGGAGCCCAGAACACCTGGAGCCCAGAACACCCGGAGCCCAGAAGACATAGAGCCCAGAACACCTGGAGCCCGGAACACCTGGAGCCCAGAACACCCGGAGCCGAGAAGACATAGAGCCCAGAACACCTGGGCCAGAACACCTAGAGCCCAGAACACCTGGAGCCAAGAACACCTGGAGCCAAGAACACCTTGAAATGTGGCCAGTTATTGGATACTAACGATACTTCTCAATCAGACAGAATTTGACAGTTAACTCGTCAGTTTCTGTGTTTTAATAAGCCTGATAAACACTTACCCCCCTTCAAATCGCTGTGACTTATCTATCTTCATAAGTAGGTTAATGTTTGTTGTATAGGAATATAAACGTCAGCATACATCTCGTGGGGACCTCACCGAGGCGACCAATAATGTACACAGTATCTACAGGTAAACAGACGTATACAAGTAACCTAGATAGCAGACCAGTGTCAGTTTGAATTTCGGGCACGTAAAGAGTCGCCATTGAGACAGTATTCTGTCAGGTTTGTGCCTCTAGGCTTGTAACACTGGCTTCAATACTGAGCTGGATGTGGTACGATCTGTAGAGAGCAATTGACGTTAGATTTACTCTTTCTGAGTGAGTGAGTGAGTATGGTTTTACGCCGCTTTTAGCAATATTCCAGCAATACCACCAGAAATTAGTCTTCACACATTGTACCCATGTGGGGAATCGAACCCGGACGTGACGAGCGAACGCTTTCACCACTAGGCTACCCCACCGCCCCTACTGTTTCCGAAAGCAAATATAGATATGATTCATAGAAATTCATACATTTCATCCCTCTTTTGCCCTGTACCCACAATAGAAAATGTTTCGGCAGATATTCGTTGATGTACTCGAACTTTGCTCGAAAAATGGTGTTTGCAAGATACGTCAATAGGAATTTCTTAGAGCTTACCTAGTCTTCATGTTTAAATAGCGTGTGCAAGATATTCTAAATACATATTTCAGAGCTTTATATTGACATGGTAGGTCAGGAAGTAATAGTGGGACAGGTAAATGAGACACACAGGCGGATGGTTTCTACAGAGGCCTGAGTTATCGCGTGTTTCGTATAAAACGCGATGTGTGAGGTGGTCTTTAAATTTGACAGTTATAAGCGAAGCAGCACAATTGATCTCGTGATTTGATATCTTGAAGATGTCCAAAAAGCTCAGTCTGAAGATAAATCGCTTTCTCCCATGACAGTGACGAATGCTGGATTTTGATTCTAAATTTATTTAATGTTATCGCCAGCTCATCTTCAGCTAAATGAACGGCGGTATCAGACATTTTAGCTAAAGCACTCCGTTCGAAATTCGAATGAGATGTATCTAATCTAGTTAGACTACCTCAACTTTCAAAACAGTAGGTTTATTTCCTTATCAAACAGAGAGTACTTTTACTTTGTTTCCACCGGGATAACCCGTTATAAACGCGTTAAGATTAGCTATAGAAACGCAGGGGGTCAAAAGGATTTGTGGTTAGTATTCCGCAATCATCAGCAGGACTGATGCGAAAATGCTTACGCGGTTAAACATTGTACACGAAATTTATAAAATACTTAAATACCTCAATTAGCGTCGCTGTAGATGCATTCCTAATTTACATTCTTCTCCCTGGTCATTGCGTTTACTCATTGTCAGTGCAAATATAATTTCATCTACACGTGTTAAATATATGAAACATCTTACATATTTGATTTAACTTAAAACATCAGAATGCCATCTTCACCTTCTTAATAACGAAATAAATGTCAAGTGTCTGAAAGGAAATATTTTGATGATGTTTGTGACGTAGCATAGACAGACGCAGAACCAACATCCAATGTCCTTCCTAATGACAACAACTTAACTAAACTTCGGAAACTAATGTCCTCAACACTTTTACAAACTTTCTGACAAGAAAATCATATGATTGTTTACACCTGCCCTCTCATAATACCTTTTGGCCAGAATTGATACGTATGCAAGATATTGCTTGATGCTGTAAAGGTATGTTAAAAAGCATATAAATGTCTTGAGCATGTTTTAGAATATGGGTAGTAGACAGGGGAGAAATTACTTTTTACACAGCGTTATCAGTTTGTTGTGATATGAGCTGTTGCTGTGTCGTGTTTGGCCAAGACCATTCACATCTCACAAAACGAACAAGACACACGATTACATGATGTTGAACTTTTCGAAACCCTCATACTAAAGTAACTTTAGTTGCTAAGCAAATAACAGACGCAAGGCTCCCGTGACCAAATGCTCCTTTTAAAACTATAATCGGCCGAGTTTGTAGGATTGTGTGCAACAAAATCAACATTATCATGCCGAGTTAGGACATAGACAATATGAGACACATAAATAACTCGTTGTTGTCACAAACAATTAAAAGATCTTTTCTACGTGAAGGTACACGTTCCTATTTATGTCTAGAATATTTCAGTTATTTGTCACCCATAGGAGAACTGCCTCTTTTTAACGTGACAGCGGAGATTTATGACTGAACACGGCTCGTCTGTAACACCGCTGTTTAAAAAAACTCAGTGGAATATCCTCCGGTGTCGTTGATGTCGGATAACATGCTTTAAATACAGAAATGTGATATACTTACCAAACAGAGAAATTAATACAAGTTGAAAAAGCTTCGGATGTATCCTCATATATGTAGAAGTGTTCATTTTGCTTGTCACAGATGTACTCGTCTGCTTCGGTGTGAGGCAGACGACAACTTTGATACAGGACCGAGGCTCTGACACGAGCGAGGCACGAGACAACGAAAACGAGGCCGCGATTTAGGAAATTGACAATCGGCTGGCAACAGTAAATTTTCTCACGCAGAAAGCAATGTTACGAGCAAACACTACCGAAACATCGCGAGGAAGCATGTTTGTCAAAAGCTGGAGACATTTAAATAGCGATTTGTGTCTCCGGACAACGGGTGAGGGAGCGTTTTTATTTCGTCGTCTGTTCTCGAGATGCCGTACAAGGACATGCAACGATTGCTACAGGTGGCAGGAGGGTGTTTGATGACAGACAACTAAATTTCATTGGCGTGTTAGGTTTGAAGGATTACACCTGACCTTGGCATTACGTCACTGTATTGTGGACGAGCTGTTGGATGCGGATCGGCACTTTGTCTTGATATTTGTCGCCATATGCCTGCCTGGCTTTCTTTTATGCCACCACCTCCTCAACCAATTCAACAATTTGGACAGTTAACGGGTTTTTTATTAGATTATATATTCAATGTTCGATGACACAATTTTATCAGATTACTGACTTATTTGTCGGCCTCTCATGTTTCAGCTTAAAAACAGTTTCACTGACCGAATTTCGGAATTACATATTGTTCCAGCGATGAGATGTAACATTTTGCACGTTGCATCAACATTTTGTATCTATTTCCTGCTATTCCCTGTGTACAATCTTCACGATACTTTTAGAATCTCACCTGAAAGGCTGTCGTTTCCCAAAGCTCCATTTTGTTTGTCATTTTGACATTCCCTCCCACAACCTGTTTTCCAAGATTAACATGGTCATCGTGTCGTTGATCTTCATAATAGACATGCAGAGACATTAAATGTTGACAGACGTGTGGGCTGTATTTTTAATGGGAAATAGACAAACACTTGGGTCAAGGCACTGGGTCGTCTGGGGTGGTCTATGGTGCTGTCGAATGAATATTGTTAGATTTAACGCCTAAATGCAAAGCAATGGATATGGGTACTAAGGGAGACAACTCTGCACAGCTAATTGCGGCGGCTAAGACTGCTGTGACGCCAGTGAAAAATTGCCGACCATTTGCCGAAACAGATTCTATTGGGCGTAAAAGGCGAACTGGTGATGAAATGATTATATGAATTGACCTCTGACATAACACGTTGGGATTCCGGGTTAAAATACGTACTCTGCCCCGGGTTCGAAACCCCTCATTGGTACAATGTGTGAAGTCGATTTCCGGTGTCTCTCGCCGTGAAGTGAGCTGGATTATTGCTTAAATTCACTTGCACACTCAATGTGAAGGTCAAATAGCACGGGTAAGCATCGCGCATCATGTTGACAAGCAACGTGTCCTATTCATTGTAAATTCCTCTGAATATTTACATTGAGATTTCCGAAATTGCTGCAGAAACCTTGATTGAAAATCTGTGTTGAAAGCAAAACATTTCCTTCCGTGAAATTTGAATAAAATGTACATGAGTTGCGAACGAATATTTTGTCAACCTCAGTACACGAGCTATGACAAATTTATCCCTATCATGATGTATAATTTTTAGAATTCTAATGAAGTTCTATTTGCGAAAAGTGTCCCAATAAGTGACAATTACATGTCATGAATATTAATATTTTTCACTGGCAGTTCCAGATCATTGCCGCGGATTAAATGTTTTTCTTGTAAAATTAACTGGACTTCTTATAAACAACAGTTCAGGGACAGGATTTTCTGTAATCCTGTCACTGGAGAAATGTCCGATATTATGTCGGACACAGTCGTTAGTATCTGGAGTATTTGCCACTGTGGAGATCGCGACACACTGGGGCAGCGTTAACGTTGCTAGCCAAAGGAGATCTTAGCTAGACAGAAGATCAGACCAAAGTACGGGGAACAGGCTGACATTAACGCGGCGACCCAAATTTAACCTTGATAAGAAAGGGAATTGTAAAGTTGTTGAAGACACTCACTGAGGATGTAAAGGTTTACGCTGGTTTTAGTAATATGCCTATATTAGACACGGTCGCGGCGGGTCCTACCAAGACTGAACAGCACTAAGTGTACGCACGTGGGCGTACGGGGAGTTGAACATTGGTTTTCGGCGTGGCGAGCGACCGCCTTAACCTCTAGGCTAGCTTAGTTTGTTTATTGTTTACGCCGGGCACACTATTCTGATGATAATCCACACATCCCAATCCCGCCCTCTCTAAAACAAAGAAGTCTGGCCTGATGATTATCACATAAAGCGAATGTAATTATTATTTTTTCCCGAAAACACTAGGCAGCGCACCTGAGACGTTAGAATCACACAGCTGTACGTACACCACGTGTAACGGGTCAAATAGTCTAATGACATCATTCGTTTATCAACTGGCATGTCACACGGGACAAGACGTGTTTATTATGGACTTACAACTCTCTGCAAGTGTGTAAAATATTAATAGATGTAATGCAAAAAATAAAAATAGTTACTTGTGATATTTGTTTTGGCTGTAAAACTACTACTCAAATAATGTTCATGTTGAAAAAGTACAAGAAAATACGTTCATTTTCGACCCTTTAAGCTTACAAGACTTCTAGGTCTGAACGTAGCTACATGTATATAGGCTGTCCTCATCGTCCACGTGATGCTCTCACATCACAGGCATCTAAATGAAGTAACTCCCTGTCCTTGGCCTGGCGATTAGAGGAGAAAGAGTGTAAGTTGGATTGTGCTTTGAATTAATAACACTTTCAATCGCATTACTTCTGCCGGAAACAAAACTGTAAAGCACTTAAAAGCTGATTTGAACATAACATGAGAAAACATTTTAATAAAAACGAGATGCAAATGTGTCTTACGAGTTTATATACTTTAATATCGCCTAAACCCCTGTACCAGTCACTGCCCAGCACTCAGCATGCAACCCTCAACTGACTGTGCTTCGGGGCGCTGCGCTTCTGCGAAATTATTATGAAATTATTTGTAACTCGCGACCATGAACAACATAGTTTGTGTCTCCAGGGCACGTCTGTTTGAAATAAAATATGTATACAACTATAAAACTAATGAAAGTTTATTTGTTTGTTGTTGAACGCATCACTCAGCAATATTCCAGCTCTATGATGGCGGTCTGTGAATAATCGAATCTGGACCAGACAATCCAGTGACTGACATCATGAGCATCGAACCACGGAATTCGGATACTGGCCATCCGATGAAAGAGCTTTTGGGGCTTTACACGGTTTGAACAGTACTGTGCACCACACCATGTCAGCGTGATGTGGGAGCAAAGCCCCGCGGTAGGAAGATCTCCGACGTTTACTATTTAGGTGGGAAAAAAGCAAAAACGGACATGGGACTACGCAATCCCTGATCACATGGCACGGAGAAGCGGCACATTTGTGTAAGTGTACACCAGTACTTTGTGTCATGTCAGTGTACACCAGCACTTTGTGTTATAGCAGTGTACACTAGAACTTTGTGTTATAGCAGTGTACACCTGCACTTTGTGTTACATCAGTGTACACCTGCACTTTGTGTTATATCAGTGTACACCAGCACTTTGTGTCATGTCAGTGTACACCAGCACTTTGTGTTACATCAGTGTACACCAGCACTTTGTGTTACATCAGTGCACACCTCCACTTTGTGTTACATCAGTGTACACCAGCACTTTGTGGCATGTCAGTGTACACCAGCACTTTGTGTTACATCAGTGTACACCTGCACTTTGTGTTATATCAGTATTCACCTGCACTTTGTGTTATATCAGTGTACACCAGCACTTTGTGTTATAGCAGTGTACACCAGCACTTTGTGTTACATCAGTGTACACCTGTACTTTGTGTTATATCAGTGTACACCAGCACTTTGTGTTATATCAGTGTACACCAGCACTTTGTGTTATATCAGTGTACACCAGCACTTTGTGTTATATCAGTGTACACCAGCACTTTGTGTTATATCAGTGTACACCAGCACTTTGTGTTATATCAGTGTACACCAGCACTTTGTGTTATATCAGTGTACACCAGCACTTTACGTTATATCAGTGTACACCAGCACTTTGTCTTATGTAAGTGTACGCCAGCACATTATGCCATATGAGTGTACACCAGCACTTTGTTTCATATATGTATACACCTGCACTTTATGTCATATCAATGTACACCAGCATTTGATGTCATTTAAGCATAGACCAGCATTTTGTGTCCTATCAGTCTACACGAACACTTGGTGTCATGTATGTATACACCATCACTTGGTGTCACGTAAGCATACACCACCACTTGGTGTCATGTATGTATACACCACCACTTGGTGTCACGTAAGCATACACCACCACTTGGTGTCATGTATGTATACACCACCACTTGGTGTCATGTATGTATACACCACCACTTGGTGTCACGTAAGCATACACCACCACTTGGTGTCATGTATGTATACACCACCACTTGGTGTCACGTAAGCATACACCATCACTTGGTGTCACGTAAGCATACACCACCACTTGGTGTCATGTATGTATACACCACCACTTGGTGTCACGTAAGCATACACCATCACTTGGTGTCACGTAAGCATACACCACCACTTGGTGTCATGTATGTATACACCACCACTTGGTGTCACGTAAGTATACACCACCACTTGGTGTCACGTATGTATACACCACCACGTAAGTATACACCAGCACTTGGTGTCATGTAAGCATACACCAGCACCTTGTTTCGTGTAAGTGTACACAAGGAACATACTGGCGAGGTACCTTAGTCATGAGAGCGCCTCTCCGCGTCCTTTGAAGTCTCCGAATGAGACCCCACCCCGGGATGGTGTGAACGTTGTGTATGACGGGCTCGCTGTATCTTACCCCAACGTCACAGTGGCAACTCAGGTATTGCAATGACTCCCTCCCGAAGTGTACCGGGCAGTAAATCTATGAAGATTGTTCATATGTCATGCTGTGGGCTCGGTGCTTATAAACATGCATGCAATGTCATTCTCAACAGTACAGGTTAACGAACGTGAGTGAGTTATCAGTGAGCAATATCGCGTAATATCAACTGGATGCGGGATGAAAAGCCCGAAGCTGTCATGTTGTAAACGATTACGACTTTGGTATTTGTTTGTTTGTTTGTTGTTTAACGCCACACACAGCAATATTCCAGCTACAGGACGGCGGTTTGTAAATAAT